GCAAGGTGCCCGGTGGGATCGGAGAAGCACATGGCCGTCCCCAGGAAGGATGGGGTGTACCCCTCACCGTGGAGGCCGAATAACAGCAATACATGCCTGTCGGGACTCAGTCCGTTGAGCTCACAGTACACACACGAGTGCAATCAGCAGTTTGAAAACGTCGGTCTAGCACAAGCCCCCATTGTACAGGTGAGAAAACTGAGGCTTAGAGAGGAGCACGGACTTACCCCAAGTCACACAGTGAACGTGGGACGAGGACTCGAATTCGTATCTTGGTTCCGGTTCAGCTGTCTCCCCTGGGCCCCTGGGAAGAGGCAAGGAGCCAATGGGGGAAGCGGTGCTGGGCAGCCGAGAGGAGGGTCCTGGGTGGGCCCTGGAGGACGCACCGCCGAAGGGGGCTGGGCCTCCACGCCTCCAGCAGTTCCCCGGCACAGCCCTGCAGCCGTTATGGCAGCTCCTGATGTCCAGCACCTGGGCTCACACCGGGCACAGTGCCTGGCTCTGAGTGCTCAGTTTCACAGATGCGGCCAGTTCTCGTGGCTTATGTATTTCCTGTGGAAGTTCACTTTAATTCTTTCTGGCTTTCCCCTTCTTTGGGGGATCTGAGGACAAAAGCAGATGCTCCCAGGTGGGCAGACACACCCACACCTCCGGTGGGTCTGTCTGGCGGCGGCTGGAGGGAGAGGCAGGTTTGCAGCTAATCCTTTTCCTCATCAGCCGTGAGCTCCTCGCAGCCGCGGAGGGACGTCTGGAGGGGCTGCTGATTGCAGAACCAGCTGGAAGGGAAGTTCGAGGGCAGATAGTGGAAAAGGCGCCACACGTGGAGCCCATCAGACGCAGGTTCAAATCCCAGAGCCACCACTCACGGCTAAGCCGCTTCCCCTCGATGAGACTCAGTTTACCCCCCCCCCTTCCCCCATAGTACTGGGTCACTGCCTGTCGAATGAATGCTATTCGTCCCCATTGTCAGCTAAACTCACTGTGGACAACAGCTGTGCTGCAAGGGCCCAAGGGAAACCAAGGACATGTTTCTGCTCCCTCGCAGCCTGCCCCTCTCTCCCAGGCCCCTGCCCTGCCCTGCAGCCTCAGGAGTTCCTGGCTTCACCCTTTGTCCAACCTCCAGGGAGTCTGATACCAGCAGTTCTGAGGCTGGAAGGGTCGGCGTGAGGACAGCGTGTTCCTGCAGCAAAGGCCTAACCGCTTCGTCCCTCCTCCCAGGGCCTCAGGCAGGAAAAGGAAGCTTGTCCCTGGGACCTGCAGGGACACTGCTTTGTGTCCCAAACTCTCCCAAAGGCTTCTGCCCGCTGGGTGTGCCTGCTTGGGTCTGTGGATCATCAGTCTACTCTAACAATTTCAGGTAAAAAGGGAGGCGTTGGAAGGTTATAGACATATTCCTTTTGGTTATTAAAAAAAATGCATCAAGCCCGGCCGGCGTATCTCAGTGGTTGAGAGTCCATCTATGAACCAGGAGATCACGGTTCGAGTCCTGGTTAGGGCACATGCCCAGGTTTTGGACTCGATCCTTGGTGTGGGGCATGCAGGAAGCAGCCAACCAATGATTCTCTCTCATCATTGATGTTTCTATCTCTCTCTCTCTCCTTCTCCCTTCGTCTCTGAAATCAATAAAAATATATTTTAAAAACATGAAAATCAAAGCCCAGAAAATCTAATAAAATGAATTTGAAAAATCCAGTGGTAGGGTAGGTTTCAGGTGAAGTTTTATCCAGCCACACAAGACTATGACTGTGATCCAGAGTGCCACGGCACCTACCTCTCTTCCATGTACATCTGTGTGCTTGTGCCCGCAGAATGGCCATTCCAACTCCATATATCCATGACCTTCAGCTCTAGTATCTGCACCAATTGCAATGTCCTGTATCTCTCTTTTTAAAAATATATTTTATTGATTTTTTTACAGAGAGGAATGGAGAGGGATAGAGAGTGAGAAACGTTGATGAGAGAGAAACATCGATTAGCTGCCTCCTGCACACTCCCCACTGGGGATGTGCCCGCAACCAAGGTACATGCCCTTAACCAGAATTGAACCCAGGACCCTTGAGTCCACAGGCCGACACTCTATCCACTGAGCCAAACCGGTTAGGGCTGTCCTGTACCTCTTATTTGCATTCCTGAGGGAGGCAATATGATTTCTAGGCTTATCCTTTTGGGCCAAGCGCCAGAAGGTGTATGTTTCTGGGCAGTGAGCGGTGGTCTCTCCTGGGTTCAGTATTCAGGGCTTGTTCAGTCATTGGTGGCCAGACCACGGGGGTCACAGGCCCACTCCACCTCAGTGGAGGCAGCATGTCTGAGAAGGGGTAATGGGCCAGTCAGCCCCCGCCCCCCCGCCCCCCAGCACCTTCCCAGAGAAGTGGGGACTCAGCCTGGGGGTCCCCAGAGACCCTGCTGTTTCTCTCCGGCCTGGAGACTATCTAAAGAGCCCCATTTTGTCTTATTTAGTAATTTTAGGGAAATCTTATGTTTGGTTCAGGTTGGAAGTTTTTGCCTTGCTATTTCCGGAGGGGCTGTTTCAGGTTCATTCAGGAGGAGAAATTCAGGCTTGGGTTTAGGAAACAGTTTTAATCCCGCGAAATCAGTCAACAGCCACATGTGTCCACCATCAGCGAGCCCAGGCTCATTCCAGATGGCTGCTAACAGACTGCTCTCCAAACAAACTCCGCATCATTTTATTACTTTCATAGCAGGAAAAGGGTTTGATCTTCAAAACAGCACACCCACGTCATTGATTAGGCTGGAAGGACTTGTTTGGCCATATTTAGAACCCACAAGGAGGTTGGAGAATAAATTTAGAACTGAACCCTGAACTTCCAGGGCCAGCAGCTCCGGAGTCTGGCAGTGTGTCTTGCTAACTCCACATGCTACCTTCAGTTGGTTGAATTTTACCTCTGACTCCTGCCGCCACAGAATTCTTGTAGGATAATACAGCCTTCAAGGGTACGACCTAGCATCTTAGCCTGTCACTATTTTTAGGCTTTGTGACTCTGGGAATGTGTTTAACCTCTCTAAGCAGTAGTTTCATCATCTTTTATTTATTTTAAAAATATTTTTATTTTTAAAATATCTTTTTATTGATTTTTTTTTTTTTTTGAGAGAGAGAGGAAGGGAGAAGAAGAGAGAGAAACATTGATTGGCTGTCTCGTGCATGGCCCCTCCTGGGGATCCAGCCTACATCCCGGGGATGTGCCCTGAATGGGAATCTAACCCGCAATCTTTCGGTGCACGGGACAACGCTCCACCAACTGAGCCACTCAGGCCAGGGCAGTGTCATCATCCTTTAAAGAAGGGCGGAGGGTAATAACAACGTGTACTTTGATTAAGTGCATGAAGATTGATTGAGATTTTTTGTTGTGGTGGTGGTAAAATATACATAACATTAAATTTACCATTTTAACCATTTTTCAGTTCTGTGGCGTCATGTACAGTCACACTGTTGTACAACCATCACCACCGTTCGTCTTCAGAACTTTCCCTTCGCCCCAACTGACACTCTGTACCCATTTCCCCTTCCCTCAGCCCACAGTAACCGCCGTGCTCATTTCTGTCTCTCTGAATTTGGCTATTGTAGGAACCTCATATAAGAGGAGTCAGACAATACTTGTCCTTTTGTGACTGGTTCGCTTCACTTGGCACCTCTTCAAGGTCCATCCGTGCTCTAGCGAGAATTCGTTTCCTCTTAGAGCAGTGGTTCTCAACCTTCCTAATGCCGCGACCCTTTAATACAGCTCCTCATATGGTGGTGACCCCCAACTTCATTGTTACAAATTGAACATCATTAAAGCATAGTGATTAATCACAAAAATATGTAATTATATATGTGTTTTCTGATGGTCTTAGGCGACCCCTGTGAAAGGGTCATTCAACCCCCAAAGAGGTTGTGACCCACAGGTTGAGAACCACTGTTTTAGAGGTTGACTAATATTCCATGGTGAGCATATGCTGCATTTTGTTTATCCACTCAGTTGTCGATGGACACTTGGGTTGCTCCCCGCTTTTGGCCATTGTGAATAACGCTGCCATAAACACAGGGGCACACATGCCTATTTCAGACCCTGCTTTCACTGCTTACCCAGAGTGTGATGAAGGTAGTTTACAAAGACCCTAAGCCCGTGCTTGGCCTGTAGTGCACATTCAACATATTGTCTCTAATAAAATCAGTATGAGAAAAAGAGTGAGTAAAAATTTTAAAAATGGAAATTAAAGAATTGAGATGACGCTTTGCCTGTCAAAGTAGCAACAACTAAAAGGCAATTACCCTCAGTGCAGCTGGGCTGTGGTGAGATGGAGCCTCTCAGACACGTCCATCTCTCTGGAAAGCAGCTCCCAGTGCTAAATATGATACATTGCGGTTCTTGGAAGTGTTCATACCATTTGACTAAATAATTCCACTTCTGAGAATTCATCCTATTCATCCTAGAGACAGAACCTCGAATGCAGACCAAGATTTGAGTCTGGAGAAGTTTGTCACAGCGGTTTCTGTAATACTGTGGAAGCAGCCTCTATTTCCACCCACAGGGAACAGTTAAAAAATAATGTCTGGGCCTAAGCTGGTTTGGCTCAGTGGGTAGAGCATCAGCGTTGGACTGAAGGGTCCTGGGTTCGATTCCAGTCAAGGGCACATGCCCGGGTTGCAGGCTCCATCCTCAGTAGAGGGCGTGCAGGAGGCAGCCAATCAATGTTTCTCATCACTGATGTTTCTCTCCCTCTTCTTTCCTCTCTGAAATCAATACAAATATATTTAAAAAATAATGTTTGGTGTAGCCCTGCAATAGAATATCTTGCAGTTATTAAAAAAAAATGCTTATTAGGATAGTGAAAAGGGAAAAAGAAGGTATGAAAATTATATATATTTATCCTATCAAAATAGCTACCATTTAGTGAGCATTAGTATGTGCTGGAAACTGCTAAGCTCTGTATGGACTTTCTCTTGTTTACTCCTCCCAACAACCCACAAAGGAAGGTACTATTTTTGCTCCATTTCACAGATGAGGAAACAGAGGTTCCAAGTGGTGACATGACTGTCAGGCTCACAGAGCCAGCAGGTGGCAAGGCCAGAATTCAAACCCTCAGGCTCCAAAGAACAGAAAAGAAATGACAAGAGCTGTGCCCTGAAGGTAATCGTGGCTCCTTGGAGGAGTGAGGTTTACTCTCTTCCTTATACTTGTCTGTATTTTCTCCCACAAACTAGGGGGGGAAAGGAGCATATTCGATAAAAAGGGAAGGAAAGAAGTAATTGCCTCTTGCAAGCAGGTATTTTGCAGCTGAAACACCAGGTCTTGTGTCTGTCCCATGTCATGAACTCAGTTTGTGTCCTTTTTTTTTCTTTTTTCTGGTTAAAGTAGAGCAGAGTGTCTTGGCGGTGTCTTATGGCTGATTGCTTAATAATCATGGACACACACGCGCGCGCGCGCACACACACACACACACACACACACACACACACACGCACGCGCTCAGCCCACGCCGCCTGAGACAGGAGGGGAGACAAAAGCCAGCAGTAGCCAAAACTCTGCTAGTTCGATGCAGATTGTTACAGGCGCAACTTTCCAGAAAGCAGAGCTCGGTGAAATAAATATTTTTCCTGTGAGAAGAGGCTCAAGTCGATCTTAACAACCCCCAATTTGTTCCAGATCCCCTCTGAGCGGCTGGCGTCAATGTGCCCATCTTGATGTGCTTAGGATCACTTAGGAAGGGCAGCGTGCCTGTGTGTCTGGCTGGCTTCTCTGCTCGGCAGGGTGCCAAGGGCGCTGGGCAGGAGGGCGAGTAGGGGACCAACCCTGGGAAATGCTCTCCCCACGCCTTTAGCTCCCCACAACTTCATGGGGTCCCCAACTCTCTTTTTCCGGTAAGCCATCACTGTTTCATCTAAACTGGAGGCCTGGGAACGCAACCTCTTTTTTTGTCAAAGTCTCTGTTCTTTCAGTCCTGGAGACAGTCTGCAGGAGGAATTTAGAATTGGGGACTTTGAAAACATACAGACATGAGGTCTGGGTTGTCTCAAGAATTGGGAGCTTCACTGTCCAGGCAAAAATTCATGGATGGATTATTCCTCCCTTCACTCTCTCACTCAGCAATTGTTTACTGGGCCACCTCCTCCGTGTAAGGCTTTGTGCGAAGCTAGTGTAAGATAGTGCAAAGTCGCTGGAGAGCTGAGATTCATCCATCCATTGATCTATCCATGCATCCATCCATCCATCCATGCATCCGTCTGTCCAGGAGATATTTACGGAATGCTTCCTAGGTGCCAGGCACTTTCAGGAAGTGCTGGGCCCTTGGCCGTAAACTGCCGCTTAGAGCTTGCATTCTAGCTGGGGTGACAGACAATAGGAAAATGTAGCACGTAGACTATCGAACGGCAATCGATACTCAATAAAAAAAAATTAAGCTGGGCCCTAACTGGTTTGGCTGAGTGGATAGAGCATCGGCCTGGGGACTGAAGGGTCCCAGGTTCGATTCTGGTCAAGGGCATGTACCTTGGGTTGCGGGCACATCCCCAGTAGGGAGTGTGCAGGAGGCAGCTGATCGATGTTTCTCTCTCATCGATGTTTCTAACTCTCTATCCCTCTCCCTTCCTCTCTGTAAAAAGTCAATAAAATATATTTTAAAAAATTAAGCTGGAAGGGGGACTGGGAAGTGGGGGGCAGGGGTGGACCCACAGAGATGAGGGGCCAGAAAACATCTCCTGAGTAGGTGGTATTTAGTCACCACCTGCAGGAGACGAGGAGAGATGATTTAGGAGGTGCAGGCATGAAATCACAGTGACTCACAGGGCGAGAAAGTCCCTCTCAAAGATCTCTCCGACCCGATTACGCCAAGAGAACGTCTGTTTGTTGTTAATGTCTTGAATGCCTCCCTGAGACTCACTGATCTCCCCCCTTGAGTGGCAGAGGCTTCGTGGCAGCGAGGCCCACCGGCACCGAATGGGGTCTTGTGACCAGTGGGACTGCTTTGTAATTCCTGTTTAAGTTATTGATGGCAAATGACCCCGGCTCTTCATTTACCATCAAGCTTAAGTGTCCTTTTAAAATACACTTATTTTTTTGAAAAGTGAGGTTGATATCAAGGAAAGGATGGAGTAACTTGGATACAGCCAGTACGCGAATTACCGGGGAAAACTGTGGCGGTGATAAATGAGTGAAATCTGGGGCACACCAGCCTAAGTCACGACCCTTCTCGTCACGTTGCTCGGAGAGGACCTGGCTCCGGAGATGCGGGCACTCATGGTGACTCAGGCTGCGGTCAGCGCCTCTTGCCAGGGCCTCTGGAGGGGACAGCATGCCCTAGGGCTCTGCTGGGAATAGGAAAGCTGCCCAGAGGAGGAGCTATTGGGGCGCTTGAAGGCAGGGTGGGTTCTGACCTGCCAGGGAAGGTCATGCAGGGCATTCCAGGAGAGGGGAGCAGAGCTGCTGGAGGAGGCAGACCCCGGGAAGCCTCCCCGACCTTCTGCTCTTCCAGGGACTAATCCTACCATGGATCCTAAAACTTCGCTTATCGAGCACGGCTTTCTTGCATTTGCTTATGTGACCTCAGCAGACCCATGGGTAGCAGTGTGGTTTGGGTCCTGTCCAAGGGTGAGGAGTTGGGGGCTCAGGCCAAGTCACCCGTGCAAGGCCCTGTAGCTGGTAACAGAACGTTTTTAAAAATTGATTTTTAAACATTGAGCTATAACTCATATAACATAAAATTCGCTTTTTAAAGTGTTCAGTTCAGTGGTTTTTAGCATATTCACAAAGTTGAGCAGCCATCACCACCATATAATTCCAGAACATTTTCATCTCACCCAAAAGAAACGCCGTACCATTGGCAGCCACTCCCATTCTCTCTGTTCCCAGTCCCTGGCAACCACTAATCTACTTCCTGTCTTTAAGGATTTGCCTGTTCTGGACTTTCATATAAATGGAAAAATTTTACCTTTGGCTTTTTCCACTCAGCATCATGTTTTCAAGATTCACCCATGTTGTAACATATATCCATACTTCATTCCTTTATATGGCCGGATAACATAGCCCATTGTATGGATATACCACATTCTGTTTATCCATTCATCAGCTGATGACATATGGGAACTTTTTACTTCTTGGTAGTTATGAATAATGCTGCCCAGAGCATTTGTGTACAGGCTTTATTGGACATATGTTCATTTCTCTTGGGTGTGTACTAAGGAGCAGAATTGCTGGGTCGGATTGTAGCTTTATGCTTACATTTGAGGCACTGACAACTACCCCCTGAAGCAGCTGCACCATTTTACATTTCCACCAGCAGTGTCCAAGGCTTCCCATTTCTCCTCATGCTCACAAGGGCAAGGCCTTGAGCTCAGGCTTGAGACAGAGGCTTAGCAGCAGAATCCTAAAAAAATAATTTCCCCCTCATATAAGTCAGTGCGGAGGGATCTTGAGGAAGGGTCTACAACACCCAGGCCTGAGCCAGACTCCACGGGGGAGCTGTGAGCTCTGGGGCCTGGTCTACGCCCTGCTGTGCCCACTAAGAATGTTATGCATATGCCACCTATTTCCTTCAAAGTTGGGGTTTTCTTTTTGGGGTCCTGATTCATCAAGTGGCCTCTAACTCCCAGGTCAGAGCTCATTCCCATGTCCTTGGTGTGCGGGCAGGGCTCTGAAGACCACAGGTGACGGCTGTTAGTTGTCGGCGGATTCTAATCATTAACATATAAAACGCTCATGTTTCTTGAGCGTTTACGACATGCTCTTACGATGTGCTTTACTTTCCATGCCCATTTCACAGATGACGAAACTGAGACTCTGAGAGGTGAGGGAGAGAGTGTGGTGAGCAGTATAGTCAGGATTTGAACCTTGTCTCTAACCACTAGGATACACTGGGAGGGCAGGAGCCTCCCTGCAGGAGCCTTCCACGTTAAGGCTTCCTTTATCGAGTGGGTATTGGTTTTCTGTCGCCGTGCAAGAAATTGCTTCTAACCTAGCAGCTTCACACAGTCCCTATGGAGGAGGTCCCAGCTCTGCAGGGCAGCGTCCTGGCGTGACGAGGCCGGGGGTTCTGCTCAGGGTGTCACAAAGCTGAAACTCAAGATACTGGTCAGGATGAATTCTTGTCTGGAGGGTCAAATCCACGTCCAAGATCATTCTTGTTGGCGTCACTCAGTTCCACGTGGCTGTAGGTTCCTTGCTAGCGGTCAGCCAGGGCCACTTTCAGCTTCTGGAGGCTTCCAGCTTCCCTTACCACATGGCCTCTGGTCGTCAAAGCCGGAAATAAAGAACCTCCCTCACACCGAATCCCTCTCATGCTTTAAGCCTCTTTTTCCTAGAGGAGGCTAATCGGAGGAGTCATATCTCATTATATTCACAGCTTCCGCCCACACTCGAACAGGAGAGGACTGTTCCAGGTCAGAGTCGCTGGGGGTTTAATGCTCCGCCTGCCACAGGAGGTCAGGTTCTAATGACAGCGAGAGTGACAGCTACAGTTAGGCCGGCCCTTTCTCTCACTAGCTAGAGCGTGTGGCGGTCAGGGCGATTCTACGTCTCTTGGTAGCCCAGCAGTGATGCTGTGAGATGCACATTTTATCCCCACGTTACCCATGAGGGAGAGGCGAATGCCTCGTGAGCCAGCAGGGGCTGGAGTCCAGATCTTCTGACCCCCAGCTCAGGGCTCTTGGCGCCCACAGCACCCCTGCCTCCCATTAGAACCTCATTACTGCCTTAGGAAGGGGAAAGCATCTGTTTCCAGCCAGCCCAGCCCTCAGGGAGCGCTTCCCTGTAAACTCAGCACATTGGGTCATGAAACTCCAGGCTGTTCCAGGGATCGCCACTGGGCTGGGCAAACTCACCTCATCAAGCAGGAAAACCAGGAAAGCCCGAGGGGCACTGAGTCCAAGCAGCTACGTGCAGGAGCTCAGCTTGGCGGTGGCCCAGCCCCCAGCGGGGGAGGCATCTGCCCAGGCTGTGATGTCCCAGCCCAAAGCGGGGGACCACACTCTCCGGAGGGCAGTATGTCGGTAGCGGTCCCCCGTCCTGGGTCTCTGTGTGCCCGGCTTTCTACTTGGAACGTGACATGGATGCCCAAGCGTCAGCGCCAAGGCACCCCCATCTTCTAGACTTCTTGCGGGATACCCTGCCCTTTAATATTTAAACCAGGCAGAGAC